CCGCCATAGCCCTCAGGCTGTGGAGTAGGAGGAGAGGCTGAAAGGGGTCTCCATAGCCCTTCTAGAGGGAAGGACTCCACAACCTTAGAAGTAGGAACCTGCCATAGCCAAAGAGAAGGTGTGAGGGAAGGAGGAGAGAGCTTGGGAGAGAGGAAAAAGCTATACTCAGTAGGCTAGGACCAAGCATTGGGACTCCACTGCCTAGAGATCAACAAGAGGTGAGTGAAGGAGGAAGGAAATCTCCTTCTTCTTCCTCTTCTTCTTCTTCTTCTTCTTTTTTTTCTTCTTCTTGTTCTTCTTCTTGTTCTTCCTCCTCCTCTCCTTCTTCTCTCTTTCTTCTTTCTTCCTCTTCTTCCCCTTCTTCTTCTTCTTCTTCTTCTTCTTGTTCCTCTTCTTCTCCCTTTCTTTGTCTTTCTCCCTCTCCTCCTCCTCCCCCTCTTATCAAAAGTGCGATTTTCACTAATTTGGGGGTTTGGGTGAGTTGCGATTCACCTTGTGGTAGTTCCGTGATGTTTCCCCTTCATAGATTGCTTCAAACTTTGAATTTTCACTGATTTGGGTGTTTGGGTAAGTTGCGATTCACCTTGGGATAGTTCCGTGATGTTTCCCCTACATAGATTGCTTCAAACTTTGGGTTTTCACTGACTTGGGTGCTTGGGTAACTTGCGATTCACCTTGGGATAGTTCCGTTATGTTTCCCCTTCATAGATTGCTTCAAACTTTGAATTTTCACCGATTTGGGTGCTTGCATAAGTTGCGATTCACCTTGGGATAGTTCCGTGATGTTTCCCCTTCATAAATTGCTTCAAACTTTGAGTTTTCACTGATTTGGGGGCTTGGGTGACTTGCGATTCACCTTGGGATAGTTCCGTGATGTTTCCCTTGGTGTTGATGCTTCAAACTTTGAGTTTTTGACTGATTTGGGTGCCTGGATGAGTTGCGGTTCACCTTGTGAAAGCTCCGTGATGTTTCCCTTGGTGTTGATGCTTCAAACTTTAAGTTTTCACTGATTTGGGAGCCTGGATGAGTTGCGGGTCAC